ATTACTAAAATTAATATTTAATATTTTATAAAGAAATTAACAATTATTTTTAATTTTGCAGGCAAATTTGCCTGCTAGACAATCTAAGGGATAATTTCGATTATCTTGAGATTGGATGATCTGAAATCAATGTATGTTAGCTCATTGGATTCGTCTAGTCACGAAGAATTGAATGGTTTTTTTTAACGATGTCGTACTGTCATAAGTTTATTAAATTTTTTATATGCTATTACAATACAATTAAAATAAAAATAAAGTAAAAAATAAAAAGACAAAACTATGACTATCTCACGTGATTTTATTACTAAAAAAATAGCTCAAACTTGTTTAGATCGACTAATCACTGGAATTCCCTTCCAACAGAACCAAAAAATTCATATTTGATGATCAAGTTATCATAAAGAAACTCAAATGAAGTTATCAGTACCTATTAATGAAATCTAACCAAGAGTTACCAAATTTAAGGGCCAAAATTAACCAAGACTTCTAAATCACTGATTTTGTATGTGTGAGTGGTGTGAGTAGCTGTAGCTAACTTCTTTTCTTCTTTTTTTTCAATTTCTTTAGTCTTGAAGAGATCCCTACAGACCTTTCCTTATCAATTAGTTTATTACATCGAGAAAGCCAAATTATGTTATAAAAGAATTGGATAAGATGATTAGTGATTAAGCCAATAATGATAGAGGTATTGACCAAAGCGAATAAAGAACGTAATAGGTAAAAAAGTTCAGAAGGGATTAATCCTTTTGTTAACAGATAAAATGAATCTAAATGAGACTGAAGATCAACATAGTTATAAAGCTGAGGTTTTAATAAATGAAACAAGCTAAACGAACAGGGTTCTTTCCTAACTTGCTGATAATAGTTTGCTTCAAAAATTCCTTAATGAGGCTTGAAGATCAATAATGGTAGCTTAATTAGCAGTACAGGTTCATAAATGTTCAAGATCTTCTGCTGCATTATTGCAGGTGATATAATTCCAATTATTGTAGAGATCTGAGTGTCGAACAATGAGTTTATTTATAGTAGGGAATTCTTTAGCGAGTATTTTAGTTTTGAAAGCCTTCTTATTTCTTTGGATAAATGTTGTCAAAGTTAGCGTATTGTCTTGTAAGTTATAGTTTTTGAGAGAAAGAGGCTAGGATATCGAAGAAGATTTAGTGAGTTGTAGTAAAGAGGCATTTTTCTGTAATTTAATGAAAAAGGAGAAGTATTTGGCAAAAGTGAAATCTTTTCAGAATTTTCTTGAAGAGAAGTCAATTGGAATATTATTAAACGTCATCATCAGTTTTAGATCCTCTATAGCAGAGTAATTGAGCTGGAAGATAGGTTGAGAATAACCATGCTTAGCAAGGATATCAGCTTTATCATTGAAAAAATCCTCAGAGTGTCCTTTAATTTTGACAAGAGTAACGGTCAAGAATAATTGTTGTATAATATAATGCAGTAAAATCTATGCAGCGTAATTGGGAATTTTCTCTCTTGATCTAATAGTTAAAACATTGTTTATAATATATTGATCAAACCCTTGTATTATAGCTTGACTGTCTGTGAAGATCTGAGAGAAAGAAGCCAAAGTGCAAGTGATAATAGCTGAAATAATAGCGAATAATTCAGTTCTTAATGATGAAGGGTTGTTGATGATAGAAGCATTAAAGAAACAAAGCGTAAATTCATGAAGGTCAGAACAAATCCAACCTATTCCCATTAAACAAAGATCAGTGGAGGCATTAGAAAGTGATCCATCAGTGTAAAATGTCGGCAAGAATAGAGGTTGCAGGCTAGTAGTCAGTTGAATGAGAGTATCTTGCTGAAAAGTGTCAATAACAATCAGTTTGATAATCTTAACATACTTAGGTAGATGTGGATCAATATGAGGAAAGATTGGAATCTCTGTATTTTGTTGGAAAGAGCGGATAGTATTTTTTCTCTTGAGTATGTATGGAAGAGATTGAATGGTATCCTTAACTGAAGTTTTCAGAAAAATATTTCCTTTGATTAGATGGATTTTTGAGGCTTTATGACAAGGTCAGGATGATAGTCTTGCACACAAGTTGTTAGAGAAAGAGGGAGCTAGAATTTCTTTCAACTATATGGAGGATTATGACAACTGTTTAAAAGCTTATCGTTGTTTAATTCACATCCTTTGCATTTTGTGATAGCTCTTTCATTATAAAGAAATGAGATACTATCGTGAGCATCAGATTGGATGAAATGTTGTATTACTAGATTGTTATATATTTGTACTTTTTGGGCGATTCTTCCAATGATCGGTTGACTAAACTGGGTATTAAGAGCAGAAATATATTCATATTTTTTATCATCTATATTAATGTCTAAATTATGTGAATCTATAAAAAAATATTGGTACGAGCTAATCTATAATTTTGTGAAACTAATCTAGAAGAATCAGATTTTAATACTAAACTACTAACTAATTTATAGAAATTGGAAACATTATTTTTTTTAAAAAAATTGTTTTTGTAGCATGATCTATTAACTAGTTCCTTCCAATTAATAAATGATGATCCTTTGTTATCCAGGAATTGATCAAGAAATAAAAGAGAAAACTTGTTGATAATGTATTGATGTTTAACCAAAATAGCTTGAGGTAAAATGGAATCTAGAGAGATCAAGCCACCTTTAATTTCATTCTTGAGATACTTGTGAATATTAAATGAAATTTCGAGTCCATTTTGTTTGAGAAAACTAAATATTGCACCAATAAAATTATTAAAGGATTTGTTATTAAATGGTAAATCCCATTTAACCAAAGGTGAAACGTGTAATCTATTGTTTAATTGAAGTCTAAATAATCTAATCCTGGAAATATGATTATAGATGGCTTTAGTGTTGAATTAATACAAAAAAGCTGTTGAAAATTCTTGCATCAGCTGATTCCATAGATCATGCAAATTATAAAAGTTGTTTTCTTTAAAGAGACAATCTGGAGCTGAGCTGGCGAATTTTGAATTGGATTTTAATAGCCTTTGAATTGGAGCAGAGAGAGTATTGCATTCATTAAAGGATAGTGGTATTATTTGTAAACTGTACTCCAAAGTGAGCATGAGAACAGTATTAAAAAAATATATAAGTTGTTTATCTGTGAGTAGTTTTGATTTGAGGGTGGTAATGAAAGAGGAGATGGTATCTTTGGTTTGTTTCTTGACAAAGGAAGAAGAATTAAATATATTAATCAAAATATCAAGGAAGCGAACAGAACCTAATACTGGTATAATAGGAATATGAAATAGTCCAAATTTTAACTAAATGGGGTTAGAAGAAAAAAGAGCATTAGTAAGTAGTCTGGATTTGTTTTTATTGATTGCAACTCTTATGAGAGAGTAATATTCATCAGCTATATCTAGAATAAATTCGAGATCTTCTTTAGAACTAGCAATCCAATTCACATCATCCATATAGCTAAGGGATGAAATATCAACAGAAAGAGAAGATGAGGTCATATTATTCAAATCTGAGATCCAAGTGTGATTTAAAGTGTATCCTTTTTTATGACGATTGATTTCACATAGTAAAGGGTCAAAGTAGATACATCACTAAAGGGGTAAAATTACTTTGCCTTGATTGATTCCAATTCTTACATCATAAAAGTCTAATAGGCCATCTTTAGTGAAAATGGGATTATGTTGATTGGTGAAAAGGTTTAAGATACAAGTAATACAGTTTTTCAGTATTTTTATAATATTGAGATCGACTCTATCATAGGCCTTGAAAAGATCCTGTAAGAGAATTCAAATTTCTTTTTTGTGTTCAACAGAGTCTTCGATGATTATATTTATGATCTTTATAGGGTCTTCAGTGGAACTGCCAAGTAATCCAGCAAAATTGTTACCTTTGAATATATTATGCTTGGTCATAATACGAGACAAACGATTCGTGATAATTTTGACCATTGCTTTTTTAGGTGATTCTAACAGTGTAATGGGTCTAGTTTTAATAATGTCACAATCCCAACTCATAGGCTTGGGAATCAGATAAATATGAGCTGACTTCTATTCTGAAAGAATATCATTCAGAGTGAAACACATTATGATCAGTTTCTATAAGAGAGATTGTACAAGCGGGATAGGTGTTTAATTATTTTGTTGTAGATACCTGAAGGTCCTAAAGCTTTATCATTAGGAAGATATGAAACAACTGCCATCCATTCTTCTAAGGTTGGGGTTGCATAATGTTATTATATCAAACTTTATCTATACAATTAATTGGAGTAAATTACTTAATCCATCGGCATATAATAGATGTAACAGGAGATGAAAAAATGGCAAAATTCTAAAAGTGATGATTAACATGTTCCTTGATGAGCTTTGGGTCATTGATAAGGAGTTGGTGATTATTGACATCGTTAATGAGGAGATGGTCTAAGATGATGGTCTTTTTTGAATGTCCAAAAGCTGATTGAATCATTTTCCCTAGAGCAGATTCATATTGTAGACATCATTGGTTAATTTGATATTTAATTTTCAATCGTGTGAAAGATTCTTCTTCGATTCTAGCTAAAGCTTTGAGGTTGTAATATAATTGAAGGAAAATTTATTTAGTGTGTTGAATATTAGATGGAACAAGGATATCAGGAAGACTAATAATAGGAAGGTTAGTATCCTTCACTATTGAATAGACCGAGAAGGAATCGTTAATCCATTTTTGCCTTATTGGCCATGTATTTGTTTTAATCCTTGAAGCATAGAATTTTAGGATGATCTTGTTTAATTTCTTCATTTGTCCATAGTAGATAACCAATTCCTTTAGTTTGGATTTCTTTTGATCTGCAAAAATTCAACAGACTGGAATGGTTTTATTGGCAATGATCATGATAGCATTTCTGAGTTGTTCCTATAAAAGGTTCATGTTAGCCAATGAAGGAATTAGTTGATTAAAATGATCTAACTGTTTATTATGGAAGAATTTATCCAGTTTTTCTGAAAAAGTGTTCCATTTGTGGTTGTTTATGGATGAGAATACGAACTTTCTTCTTTTACTGTTGAATCGTCGAACGTTGGCTTCTTGTTTAGGTTCTAAATCTGCAAAGAAGGCTGTAACCATTCTATGGTCAGATTTGTATAAAAGTGGTTAGAGACACCACAATATAAGAAGTCAACCAAAAAATCAGGTGAAACAAAGATGCCACATAGTTGACGAGAAGAACTAGAACATGTATTATTATTATTAATATTGTTGAGTGAAAAAAGGTGAGTATGATGTTGTTATTGCTAATTTGTTGAAGATCTATAAGATTTCAATAAAAGAAACCTTCAATTAGTGAGAAATGCCATCCCAACAGTTTATTATCTTTTAGTTTTTATTGATAAGATTCTATTTCAATATTAAAATCTCCCATGATGATAATGTGGTAGTGATTCTTAGAAATGTCGTCAACTAGCTGGAGAATCTCTTTTTGTAGTATATGCCTATTGTGAGCTGATGTTTTGTCTTGACAATTTGTGTGAATATAGATACTGAAGACACACAGTTTGAAATGCCCTTTAATGAAAAGATCAATATATGTGAATCTTGATACAGAAGTGAAAGAGCGGACGATATATTTGAACCATTTATTTGATATTAAGAGACCAAATCCAGCGTAGGGTTTATATGGGTCAGGCTTGCTCCAGTAAGAAGCATAATCTTCATCATTTTTATATTTATAGAAAATGAAGCTGGTGTGATGAGTTTCAGTTAAACTGATGAAATCCAATTTGTTGAGATGATAATGTTCGAAAATTTGTGAGGATTTAATTGGATCAGTCTTTTCAGCTAAACTAAGAACGTTGTGTGTTGAGAATTTGATGACATCTCTGTCTATAATTTTGCTAGCATTATTATCATCAATATATACAATATCTATGTTGAGTTTCTTGATCATTTGTGTGTGAAATGTTAAAATTTGATTATTAAGAAAAGAGTCAATATTCATATTATTATCATGAATATTCAGGTTATTAGTATGAATATTCTTTAACTGTGATTTGCCTGGTGTAACTGTTATAAGCGTTGGGTAATGACCCTATCATAATTAGAGAAATTTAAGAATTGAGCATCAAGTTTGGCTAGGTGGGTCTTGATCAAGTCTAATTCTTGTAGTTTATTGAGTATAGTAGTCAACAGATCAACATTGGTGTTAGAAGGAGGTAGATAAGACGAATCTTTGTTTTTTCCTTTTGAGGTGATATTATCCAGACCATTGGGAGTAGAGTATAAAGATGAAGTGTATTGGTCAACACGCATGTGAACACCCGATTTGTGAGAGACTGAGTTACGTCTGTTATTATTTTTATTTGAAATGGAAGAGTGACCTGAGGTGTTTTGTTGAATGGGTTGTATGATCTACTAAGGATTCTAGGTCAGCCATCCAATTTATGTCTATTGTGTAGAATTCTAGCTAAACAGGCTTGATGCATATTTGATTCATTCGAAAATGCAAAGTAAGCAATGTTATTATGAAAGTAACAAGAGCAAGCTTCGTGAAGTCTTATTGATCTGAATGCTTTTGCAGGTATAGTTTTATTTGAGAATCCTTTGAAACCAATGACGAAATTATTTCTTGCTTTGAGATTATCAATGAAAGTATCAATGTGTGCACTAAAGATGCCAGCCGAAACTCCCTCAAAATAATTTTGTCATATCCCTTATTATGTTTTTAATATAGTTTTGGCTAATTTCGGGTTTCGGGGTTTCGTCGTACCCTCACTATGTTTTAATATAGTTTCGGCTGTTTATTAATTGCCTTTTTTGAGTTTCGTCCCTCATCTTTAGTGTGCATATCTTACGACTAAACCGTTAATATTATGGGCCTATGCTAAGTTTAATTGATGGGGTTTGGTGAGTCGTTTGAAAGTAATAATTATATCCCAAGTAGAATCATAACGATATCTGAATTTGTCTTCCAATGTTTCTTTAGGTCCATAATAAGATAGGCTCTCTTTATATGTTGGTGAGAAATCGTAGTGGAAACCATTTTTAATTTATATATAGACGCATTTGGGTTAGAAGGGAAAGAAGTTTCATGATTCAAAATGTTAAATGGGTTATTGGAATGTGTTAAATGAACTTCATCAATCGCAGAAAGAAGGAGTTTTCTATTGTAAAATTTCCAATTAAGGTTAATGAATCCAGGCTTGTTTGAAAAGCAAGTGTTGATCAAACTTAATTGATTAAATCTATTATTACCAGGAAGAACGTTAGCAAATACCATTACAATTACATGACTATTATTATTATTATTAGAAGAAGTGTGAGAAGTGTGATTGATTATGTGATGTAGATTGTCCTTATCTAAGACATTTTGATGCATAATGTTGGTGATATTATGCATGAACGTGTTTGTGTTGGTGTTTAGTAAATTAGGGGCAGGTGTTGATTATCACATGACAAGTTATTATTTGACGTGTATTTATTATGTTTACGTGATTGTTTATATGATTGACGTGTAGATGAATCAGATATAGTCAAATCATTATTTGGAAAGTTGATAGTATTGTTTGTTAAGGTAGGAGAAAGGTGAGAAAGTCCTTTATGTATGATTTGAGAGAAAAAATCCATATCATCTTCTTCGAGTATATCCATTTCAGGAGAGGTGGTATTGGCGATGAAAATAATATCATCATTTTCTAAAATATTATTTAAAGTGTTATTGATAATGTCTTTAGTGACTTCTGTAGCAAAGTCATTTGTTTCAGTTTCATGTATTATTAATGTACTAGTATATGCGATTTGTTCAATAAAGTTTTTTGAAAGTTCTATTTTTTCTGGAAAAGTTTGTTATATTCAAAGTTGAGTTTTCTGACAAGCCAAAAAATTTCAGAAGTCTGAAAACCTAAAAATTTTGCTATTGTCACGTCTCTTAGTGAGATGTGAAGTAACATTAGCGATAAGTTATAAGAAAGTTTTCGTATCTTGAGCGAAAATATCACTATAAAATTCTAAAGTATTAGAGGTCATCGTTTTAAAAGATATAAAAGTGTTTTAATATTATTTGTATTTAGTTTGTATAATGAAAAAATTATTTTTTAAAGTTTTGAGTATTTTTGAAAAAATGGTCTGAAAATTTTCTTTGAGGAATTGAATAGTAGTTGTTTCATACGAATCAGAATAATATTGACTGAGATTGTACATCTTTTGTTTTTTTTATTTTTTCTATATATAAAAAATCATATGATATGATATCATTTCGACCATTTTCTTTTCACCTCTAATAGTCAAAATGATTTTGACTAAAGGGACTGGCAGTCCTATCTTAATTGGTAAAAACTGAAATCCTATTATAGGTTATACTGCAATAGATTTTAGCTCAGCCTCTAGCTAAGGCAGATTATGGTATTAATTTACTATAGGATTTACCAGTTCAATTCTAAAAATGAATTTCATAGGATGTGTATAATCCATATACATTAAAGATCAATCACAAATTTGTAGAATAAGATGACTATTTGATAGTTGTTTATAT